ATAGTGTCCTAAAATATTTTATGTGCATTAAAACCCAACATCACAGTCATAAACACATGTAATCAACCCTGTAAAGTAAACAGCAGCATTTAGAACCATTTTAGAGCCGGGCAAGCACACAGAGACCACACAGAGCCAGGCATGTAAAAAAACTTTTTTTTTAAAGTATATGTGTAGGCTATATTTGGACCATAAGATACAGGGACTTTTCCCCCCCACTTCTGGGGGGGGAAAAGTGCGTCTTATGGTCCGAAAAATACAGTAATCTCCTGGGGGAGGGGGACGTCTGTAATATTTTCAACAATAAAGATAAATTAAAAAAAAAGAAAAAAAAAGAAATAGTTAGTTCTTTAAACCATGTTACCAATTTGCACCAATTTTCATTTTCTATGTATCGGTCGGTGTTAAGGGTCTGCCACCCATGATAAATAACATCTTTGGGGCTGACTAAGCTACTGGATATTGTTATGGGATGAATTGTGACTCTCCCTCACACACACCCCCCCCCCAAAAAAAAGTTAGTTTGGACTCCTAACCCCTAGTACCTCAGAATGTAACCTTACCTGGACACAGTGTCTTTACAGAGGTAATAAAGTTAAAATGATGTCATTAGGTGGGGCCCTATCCAATATGACTGTTGTCCTTTTAAAAAGGAGAATTTTTTTTAACACAAGACACACACAGGGAGAACTCTACATAATGACTGGAGTTATGCTGCAAGGAACTACCAGAAGCTGGAAAAGAGGAATGGAATAGATCCTGTCCCTGCCCTTACGCTTCTGCCTCCAGATCTGAAGGACAATAAATTTCTGTTGTTTAAGTCACTCAGCGTGTGGCACTTGGTTACAGTACCCCTAGTAAGCAGGTGTCCTGAAGAAAACATGCAGCTAGTGTTTACTGAGCACATTCCAGGTGTTACCTAAGCACTTAGCATCGAGAAACGCATAGAGTCCTTACAAAGTTCACCCTACGACCCACATATTATAATGATACCCTTTTACGGATGAGGACACACCAAGGCTCTAAGAGGTTAAGGAACTTGCCCAAAATCAGCCACAACCCCCTCTCTTATCACTAGGCTAAAAGGAACTACTATTAATAGTAATTCATTAAGCCAGACACTAGGTCCTTTACCGATATAACATACACAGCAATCCTCTGAAATAAATGTTATTACCAATACAACAGAGGACCCCATCAGAGAGATTAAGAAATTGCCCAATATCTTACAACCAAGAACCATGACAGTGTATCTAATTTGCCAGCTTGAAGGAATAAACAAAAATATTTCTCTGCTAAAACTTTGAGCAAGTGAAATTTTTAAGTGCCTGACCTTATAATTTAATATTAGAAATATACATCTATAAATTCAAAATTCTTCAAGATCCCAGGACATGTACATGTATTCCCTTCAGCCATTAGTCAAGGGCTGTTTTTGTTCAGATGTGGCCCCTTACTGTTTCTTTGACTCCCAGACACAAGAGAAGAAAAAAATGTAAGGATTGAGATACTGGGGTTTTTTTATTTGTTTTTAAAAATTTTTTGTAACTTTTTTATTTTGATACAAACAGGAAAGTATAAAAAAATAATGTAGTGAGATGTCTCCTCCCACAATGTCCTCTGCCTGCTAAGTCCCTAGGCTTATCATGTAATCAATGTCACCATTTCCTTATTTATTAAGTTTTTTTGTGCATATACAAACAAATACAAATTTTCTTTCCTCCATTTCTTTCTTGAAAAAATGTAACACATCATACACACTGTTCTGTATCTTGCTCTATATTGCTCTATATTGCTCTATAGAATATTCTAATATTCTATATTAGAATAACTTCTAATTAACAAAAATGCCTTCAATTGAGGAGCTGCTGTTTTAAGTTATTTTTCCTTTGGTACTTTGGCTTGTGAAAAGGGTGACCTTTCCATATTATATTGAATTTTATCTTAATTTCGTCCTTTTGTTTGTCAAGAATACTTTTTACTTGTTTTCATCATAACTCAGTCTAGCACACAGAACAGCCAGAGCTATCTGAGACAACTGATGGGGGCACCGTATCACATACCAAAGACCATCTATCTATTCTCTCCACCCATTCTTCATTTTGCTCTTTTCTCCAACTCATCCAATTCTCCTCTTCCTTGTTCTTCTCCCATCTCACCCATACCCTACCCTGACAACTAGACCTAGAAACAGCAAACTTCACTGATACTGCTTAGTCATAGCCACCAATAAAAAAGCTGGAGGGCCCTGATATAGACAGAAAGCAGTACATAATTTCCATAGGAACTTCTAATTAACAAAAATGCCTTCGATTGAGGAGCTACTGCTTGAAGTTATTTTTCCTTTGGTACTTTGGCTTGTGAAAAGGGTGAATATTGGCACTACTTCCTAGAAGCATGGAAACAAGCATATACTCAGGCCTAACATTTAGGTAATGCATTTAGAGTTCATGCTGTAATAAGGTAATCAGAAACAAAGCATAAAAACTATAGAAAATGAATATGTTGGCTCCATTTTAATTAGACTACCGTTTTGATTTTGTTTTTACTAAAAAAGTAAATAGTTATAACCTGAAAATACATCTCAGAAACATTGTAAGGATATTTACAACTAAAAAAAAGGGGGGGGGGGGAGAATAGTATGAATGGGGGGAAGGGGGATGGTAAGATATGAAAACAGATAATAATTTAATAAAAATTAAAAAAAAGAGAATGAAGTTCTCTCTTCTTTTTTCATTTTCCATTCTGCAAATTCAATGCTATCCTCTTCCCCCAAAAAAAGTGCTTTTTCTCCTGCCCAGACCAAACATTATAATTCTTAAGTTTTTTTAAGTAAGAAAGGAGGAGAAAAAATGTTAGCAAATAAAACATTTGTTTAGATTTAGAAGAGGTTTTCCACTAGCAGGGAATATAAAATTAAGGCAGCCACATAACTACATTCTTAAATAGTTAACAAGTGGCAACTCATATGGTTCAGAGGCCTGACTTCCATTCTGTACTCCTGCCAAGCCAGAGGTCTTTGGTACAGCTTCAGGGGTTACAGTGAAACTACAGCTGACGCCTGGACAATGTGAGCTTCTCGAGTTTTTTTTCCATAAATACTATTTTCTTATGATTTTCTTAATAAATTTTGTTTTCTCTGACTTCCTTTGTTGTAAGCATATAATACATAAAACCAACAAAATATGTGTTAATCAACTATTTGTCATCAGTAATACTGTCAACAACAATGAGTAGTTAAGTTTCGGAGGAGTCAAAAGTCATCAGCTATTTTTGTCTGGGGGCGGGGGAGTTTGATGAGGCAGCATCCCTAACCCCCACGGTTGTTAACGGGCCAACTGTATATTAAACACTCCAGGTTCACAGGTTTAGAGGTAAAATCTTCAACAGCATATATACCTTAAAAACAGGGCTCTATGTACCTAATACATTAATTAAAACCAAGGTGACTGTAAAATAAAGCCTAATATATTGATCCCAATTTTCTTGGGTTTCTAGGGAACTAGTACGTGCTGATAGCCCTTTGTCTGTATCCTAAAGATAGCAAGGCCACCAGATCCTAGTGCTAAATTCTCAATACCAAAGAGAAATGTTCTTGTACAAAGTCCTCCAATTCCTAAGGGCTCAGGGCTTCTGGTTGGGTTCCCCTTGCAACTGCTCCAGTTCTACAGAAAGGATGACTGGAAAAACGGTGTGACTTTGACTTCCTTTACACTAAAATAAACCTCATTCTCCAACAATAGCAGCTGGAACATAAACGAAGATGGAGAATTCAGTCTGCATTTACCTAAAGATTTCCAACAGTCCAATTATTTAGTTTATGCAGGTTGCATTATTCTCTGATTTATCCACTGCATTCATTTGGAATTCTGCAGGAAAGATTACCACACAACAAATGATCTAATTACACTAACATCTAGCTCCAAAGGAAGACCACCTGTGCCACCTGGTGAAGCTGGTGGACAGTTTCCATTACTCCTTGTCTTTCTCTCTCCATCCTTCCTCCCATTTTCCTCCCTATGTATGTCTTAAATTTGGCCCCTCTGCTTAGTCTCAGTGGAGTGTCCTTTGGCCATCTATGTACAAGAGATTGAAAGCAGCCAAGAGACTAGAGAAAAACCTTATCAATGAGTGTATGTGTTTTTCATCTACAGATCATCTGCTGCCCGGCCAGCCAGGCTCAGTGGTTGAGCATCAACCTATGAACCAGGAGGTGAGGGTTTGATTCCCCATCAGGGCACATGCCCAGTGGGGAACAGGTAGGAGGCAGCCAATCAATAATTCTCTCTCATCACTGATGTCTCACTTTCTCTACTTTTCCCTTCCTCTCTGAAATCAATAAAAGTGTATTTGAAAAAATAAAGGATCATCTGTCCACACTGCCCAAAAGAGGTTTGTCCTGGGAGGTGATACGTGGCACAAAGTGCTACCTGTTGAGAAAAATGGTGTAAATTCATTCCCACGCAAAGGACTAGGAAACAGCAGGGTCACTCTCCAACAGAGTTGTATCCATAAACCACTGGTCTTATCCTATATGAAGTTTCAGATAAACAAACAGTTATGACACATCTTTTGTATCACATGAATCAGCTACAGATTGGCAAGAGTGGGTCACACCCTAGTACCTATGACTCTAAAGTACTTGTTTGAAAGTGGACCTGGATGTTGGAATTGCCCATCCATCCTACTTAGATAGGAGAATTTTACAATTATGTGGGCGTCATAACTTAAAGTTTAAAAAAATAACATACACACACACACATACATATATATAATGCAAGTTAATTTGAGAACTTCACTGATATTTTAACTCCAATAACCAAGAAAAGTAGCAATACAAAGGAATAACCAATCAGATCTAGGAAGCAAACACAATAGTAGTTTTTGAGTAGAAAGGAATGTCAGGTAAGAGGTTGAAAGACTTGCGTATTTGAGAATTAGAATATTCTCCATTCTAAAAAACAAATTAAGCTTTCAATTTTAAAAATAACACATCTTACCTTAAGAGGCATCCGAATAGCATTCATAGTGTCAGGAATAGTTCAGCCAATACTCAAAAATGAGCAAGAAGGGAGTCTTAGTAATCCCTCAGTCACCAAGTATCAGCAGGTGGAAGAAAATGTTTTGTTTCAAGAAGATATCTGAAAGAGAAGACTTTCATTTAGACTAAAAATATGATCAAGAATGAGTAAATAATTTAAGCTCTGTGGACAGAGATTTGAAGTACTACTACTGCCTCACCATCCTAAAGAGAAGTACAAAACAGTCCTCTTTGGAAATTAGCAACTGCGGGCATGTGTATATCATATATACACATATATGGAGAAATATATTTTACATAAAAAGTGGATTAAATGTGTAATACATATTTTAGATAATAAAAATTTTAGATAACATATCGTTAGAAAACCAAAATCTCAGATAGAAAAATAATTATCCATCCAGGGTACTTCATAAACACTATGGAAAGTGATTTGTTCACTGACCATCCAAAAAAGACCCTCGCCACGTTTCATTTTAATGAAAACCTCTCTGATCACTCTCATTGTCCTAAATTTTAGTAAGTTTCAGAACCCATTCTACTTAAAAAAAACACACACACAAAAAAAACACCTATTCTTGACTTAAGTGCTACAAGCAAATAAAAGGCCCTTCTTTCCTAGAGATCTTTAAAAGCAAACCAAACAACTTAATTTTGAGGACCTGGGAGGGAGGCAAGTTTGCCTGGAGGGAGGAGGATGGATTCAGTGGCCTCTCTCGCAGAATCCCTGTTCAAATCCTAGGCCTGAATGAAAATTCCAGCTTAACCAGTTATTGCTTAAAATGGAGGCTTGCCTGAATAGGAACAAAAAATAACAGCACCCACCTCCATAAAATACATTTCGGGGAAAAAATCAAAGACTACCATACCCTCATTTTCTAAAGAAAAAAAAAATGTTTTTAGAATGTCCTGGTGTCGATTTTTGTGCCTGCTCTACATTTGTCACTTCGGCTTGGAAGACTTGCCACCACTTTCCCTGACGCTCATCGGATTTTTTTTTTTTTTTTGGGGGGGGGGAGTGGGGGTAAAGAGAAGGAGTTTGACTCTTGACCCGAGTCTCAGGAGGGTTTAGGGGCCCCTCGGGGATCCCCACCGCACAAGGCATGGGGAGCAGAGAAAGGGGACAGCCCGAGTTCCCACCCCTCCCCCCACCTCGGACCCGGGTCCCAAACCTCTCCGCCTCACCTTCCCGGAGCGGGGTGACTGCTCCTGCCCCGTCCCCATTGTTAGCGAGGGGGCGGCCGGGAGGGGGCTCCGGGCCGGGGCGCCGCGGCCGTTGCCCCGGGTTCGCCTCAGGAGGGGCGGCCCAAGGGATGCAGCTTCCCTTCCCCTCCGCGTCGGTCCGTCCCACCTCGGCTCGGCCTGGCGCCCCGGGCTCTTCTCCTCGGCGCCCCCGGCCCTAGGCCGGGCCTCGGCCCGCCCCCCGGGCCCCAGGCCCCCGGCCCTGCGGCAGGCAGCCCGCGGCCCAGTCCCGGGAGCGGGGACCGGGCGGGGGTCTCCGCGCCCCACACACGCTCCTCCGCTCCCCCAGCCCCGCCGCTGCCAGGGCCCGCGGCGGCGCCAGCTCCACGGGCCCTGCGGCCCCCCGCCTCCCGGCCGCGCCGCCCCCGTGGGTTCCCGCGGCCGGGACCTCCTCCCCTTCCCCACCATCACCCCTACCGACCCGGGCACCCACCCCCCCGGGCACCAGTGCCAACGGCGGCTCCCCGGGCCCCGGACCTACCTGCACGGCTCAACCAAGCCTAGGAGTGGGGGCGGGGAACCTTCCGCCCTCCTCTGTCTCCCATTGGCCCTCCCGGAGCCCATCGAGAGGCGCATTGGCTGGTGGCGCTGTCCGTCAGGGCGGCAGGGCGGGACCGAAGGGGGGGGGGAGAGGATGCTGGTGCCCCGGCGTCTCTGTCTCTGTGTATCTCGCTGTCTCTGTCTCGGCTTTGGGAAAAGACATTCGAGCCGGAGGACTGAAAGGAGGCCGGAGCTGGGAAGGACAGAAATAGGCATCCTGGTGGGGCTTCCCCCCAGTCCGACCCACTCCGAGCCCTCTGCCTAAGTCTCCATTAGGTCCTCTTCTCCATCACCCCCAACCCCGGCCCCTCACCCTTGGAGGTTCTTCATCCAGGAAGCGACGTGATGAAAACTCGAGGCCGGAAGGCCATCGAGATCTTATAGATGTAGATAAAATACACTCATACAAATACTCGCATATAAAGTCAGTCAGATGTAAGGTCACGAGAGCCTGGGGAGGGAAGGGGGACACATCTCACACACAGGGGAGGACTTGAGATGGAGCCAATATCAGAAGGAATCAAAATGACTCAAAGTGCTAGGAAACAGGGGTTTCCTCCCGGCGGGAGAACTGAGTGCCTAGGAGACCAGGTGGAAGGAAGACAACATTTCACTGCACATCCTTTTGTGTGTCTTTTGATTTTTTTTTTTTGTACTATTCACAATTTCCAGGTGTTTTGTTGTGTTGTTGTTGTTGTTGTTGTTAAGTAATTGATTTAAATTTAAAAATGATTCTAAAATCCCAGACAGAGTGGGACAACGTGCAGAGTTAGGGAGGAATTTTAGTTTTTAATATATTTCAATATATAAAGATCCAGATACCAGTGGCAAAACTAAGTGGATGTGTCCTAGAGGCAACCGGAGTTGTGGAACTGGTGAAGAGTGGAAAATCCGGACAAGGGGAGATCTGGGAGTCCCTGCCTAAATAAATATGGTGACTGGTGACATGCTGAAGGATAAACTCCCCCATAGAAATGTAAAAGAAACCCACAGGAGGATGAAAAGAAACAGAATGAGGGTCAGTTAGGTAAGAAAAACAACAATGAAGAAGCCTGAACATTAAGGGAGATAGGGCATCTGGAAAAATAGAATGGTAAAACTGTAAGAGCCTCACGGGTGTTGAGACTCACTTCCGTGACCGTCTTTAGGCTCATTCAATAAAGAATGAAAGCCAAGAACATATCCATTTAGCAGAGTTCTTAATTTTTTCAAACCACAGACCCTTTTCAGTCTGATGAAGCATATGGTCCTCTTCTCAGAATGTTTTCAAATGCATAGCAAACATACATAGGAAAGCAATGATATTAAACCACAATGTTCGGTATAGGATATGAATGTATTTTATATTAATGTGTTAACTAATAAGATCTATTATAATAACCACAGTAAATTAAAATAAATAATATTTCAAGACCTCTGCAACAACTGTAATAAATTTGGGGAAAAAAAATCTGTGATTTCTATTGGTGACAAGATCATAGGTACTGCTAATATTACTTGGTTTGTTGTCTCCATTTGTACGGGAAGGAAATGCTGATTTTCTGTTACACTTTAGAAAATTAAGGCATGTACTTTTAAAATATATATATATATATATATATATATATATATATATATATATATATATATATATATATATATTGTTGATTTTTTTACAGAGAGGAAGAGAGAGCTAGAAACATCGATGAGAGAGAAATATCGATCAGCTGCCTCCTGCATACCCCGCACCCAAGATGTGCCCACAACCAATGTACATGCCCTTGACCAGAATCGAACCTAGGACCTTTCAGTTCCCAGACCTACGCTCTATCCACTGAGCCAAACCGGTTTCAGCAAGGCATATGCTTTTGTAAGTTTGTTGATTTCCTAATATGTAGACCACAGTTTAGGAAACCATTCCTTAAAGAAAGCATTCTTTTTTTATTTTTTTAAATAGATTTTATTGATTTTTTACAGAGAGGAAGGGAAAGAAATAGAGAGCTAGAAACGCCAATGAGAGAGAAACATCGACCAGCTGCCTCCTGCACACCCCCCACCGGGGATGTGCCCGCAACCAATGTACATGCCCTTGACCGGAATCAAACCTGGGACCTTTCAGTCCACAGACTGACGCTCTACCACTGAGCCAAACCGGTTTCAACAAGAAAGCATTCTTTCCACCCTCCACCTACCATGCCAGGCTGTGACCCTTCCCTTGGCTTCTTATCTCTGGCTCTCTCTACTCCTTTCCCATTTGCTCCAAGTACTCTCTACCTGCAGATTCCTGATATCCCTGTGACTAAAAGAGCAAGGGACTATGAGTGAGGGTTGGACGAAAGACATATACAGGTTGTCTTTCTTCAAAGAAAAAGAGAGAGCTATGCAGTATATAGCAGATCTCAGAAGATGGAGAAAAGGAACCCAAGATGGGGTATCATTAATCACCAAGAGGAAAAACAAATTGTAAGAAGAAACCTTTATCAGTTAAAAAAGAATATTTTCTGAGTTTATTCATTTTACTTAAATTGGCCCTAGAAAACATCTTTAATCTAGCTCTTTATTTCAGGTATCTGTAAAATGGGGTTAAAAAATAGTGCCTACATCCTAGGGTTTTTTGTGAGGATTAAATTAGTCAATATATGCAATAAATTTAACACAGTGCAGTTTTTAACTACCATTATTATTACATTTTGCATCTTGTATTGCAGAGCATTCCATGAAAATTCCTGGTATGATTATTTGTATTAATGGCATGTATAATAGCAAATTAAGAGTGACCAACCCAGAACATCTATTTTTTATTTAAATGCAACAAATTTAGAATACTTCACTTCTCCCAGTTACATTTTCATTCCGGGGTGGTTAGAAGAATATCAGTGTCTCTTTAAAGAAATTGCAAACTTGCCAAAACTGGTTTGGCTCAGTGGATAGAGCGTCAGCCTGCGGACTGAAGGGTCCCGGGTTCGGCGGTCAAGGGCATGTACCTTGGTTGTGGGCACATCCCCAGTAGGGGGTGTGCAAGAGGCAGCTGATGGAATATTCTAATCGATGTTTCTAACTCTCTATCCCTCTCTCTTCCTCTCTGTAAAAAATCAATAAAATATATTTAAAAATAAATAAATAAAGAGATTGCAAACTTGGAAAGAAAATGTTGCTGCTCCTATTACAAAGGGCTAGCTTCCATAATGCTTTCTACAAAGACCTCCTACAAATCAAGAAATAAAGACCAGCAACCCTCATACATTTCTGGTGGAAGGGCAAACTGGCACAGCCACTTTGGAAAAGACTTTGATATAATTTAACACAATTGGAAATTAATGTAATACTAGTTTTACTATAAGCATAAGTATTACTGTACAAGAATAGTCATAGCAGCATTGTTCCTTAGTGCCAAAGACTGGAAACATCCCAAATGTTTACCAAGAATAAAATGGTCAAATTATTGTATATTCATACCATGAACGTTAATAAATTATGGTTATTTTCATCAACAGAAATTTTTACAAATATTGAACACAAACACAAAAAGCAAGATTCATAAAACATACATAGTGTGATTCCATTTATGTAAAGTTCAAAAGCAGGCAAAATTGAACTATATTGCTTAGGGATGCACAGATAGGTGTTAGGATTATAAAGAAAAGGAAGGAAATGGACACAATAAAAGGCGAATTAGCGGGACAGAGGGAGTTTTGTCTGGGGCGGAGGTTGTTCTTAGGAACAGGCAGTGTTCTATTTTTTTTTTTAATATTTTTTATTGATTTTTTACAGAGAGGAAAGGAGAGGGATAGAGAGTTAGAAACATCGATTAGAGAGAATCATTGATCAGCTGCCTCTTGCACACCTCCTACTAGGGATGTGCCCACAACCAAAGTACATGCCCTTGACCAGAATCGAACCTGGGACCCTTCAGTCCGCAGGCTGACGCTCTATCCACTGAGCCAAACCGGATTCGGCAGTGTTCTACTTTTTGATCAGGTGGTGGGATAGAAGTATTTGCTCTATAAGTGTTTATTAAAATGTACAAAAGCACTTATATTTTCCAGTATATATATTTTACAATGACAATATTTTAAAAACAGCATCTCTAGAAAAATGAACAAAGCTTATGACAGAAAATTTACAAGAATGAAAACAGGAATGGCTCTTAAACGAATGAAAAGATGCTCAACTTGACAGAAACATGCATTTAAAGTTCCACTGAGATACTATTTTCATCTAATAGGTCATGAAGATAAACTTTTACTAAACATTGTGTTGGCAACAGAAAGAGAGAAATAACTATTTTTTTTTTTTTTACATCACTGATGAAAGTATAAGTTCTTCCAATATCTATGGAGCTATATGGAAAGCAATTAGGCAATAACCACCAAAATTATAAATGCAAATACCTTTTCATTCAGTAATTCCAACTCTAGAAATGTATTCATTTATTCCCTAAATATTTATTGAGCACCTTACTATGTGGCAGGCACTGTTTTATGCTGTAGAATTTATCTTACTGATATATTCTCTGAAAATTTGGGAAATATGGGGCTGTTTATTTCATTGTCATCATACAGTTGTTCATGAGGAAGAAGCCTTAAATCTCAACCAGAGAATATAAAACTAAGATTTTATCAGAGCACATAGACTCTTAGAATACTGTGTAGCTACTGCATACGTATTCAATGTCATTACCATTATAGCTATATTGCTGTTATCAGATGTACAATGGAATATTAGTCAGCTATAAAAAAGAAAGAAGTTCTACCTACATATACCACTAGAGCATGATCTCTGGATACAGGTTTTTTTCCAGTTTATTTATTTTATTTCATTTTTTGTTTTGTTTTTAGTATATTTTATTGATTTCAGAGAGGAAGGGAGAGGGAAAGACAGAAACATCAATGATGAGAGAGAATCATTGATTGGCTGTCTCCTGCACACCCCTGACTGGGGACTGAGCCCACAACCCAGTCATGTGCCTTTGATTGAAATTGTACCTGGGACCGTTTAGTCCGCAGGCTGATGCTCTATCCACTAAGCAAAACCAGCCAGGGCTGGATACAGTTTTTATTTTATTTTTAAAGATATCA